CAAACTGAATTCAATTTTTAAATGTTTTCATTTCTCATTCATTTTTTCCAACAAATGAGTTTATATCATAAGTAATTTAGCTGAATGAATTTTCAATAATGAAGTTTTTTTTCCTCTCTACAAAACCAAGTGTCTTTTTTGACAAATACCATACATTGATTTATAAGATTCCATTGCATATATAGTAAGATTTCATTTCTCTTTATTCAAAACATCACACCACACTATTCATTTTATTTCATTTTGATACATTCAACAAACAAACAAAACTCCACACATTTATGAATTCATAAAACTAAAACTAAAACCAAGACTTCCACTTTTTTTACTTGACACAATTTTTTGAAAAATAACACTCTCTAAGTGATCAAATCACATTTTCCAGGTCTGATAGCACACCAATGAGGTTGTAAAGCAGTAGCTCTGATCCCTCGTCTAACATACCGATACCTGAAATCCCCAAGAAAAAAACAATCAAACTCAGTTTAAAAGCCAATGATAAAACTTACTACTAGTAGAAACTGAACAAACCTCATATCATGTAATCTAGGTAAAGCATCAGCTAATCTATCTTCAATCTTAGGTTCCACTTCATCATCATCATCATCTTTTTTACCTGTCCAATATAATTCAGCAGCTGCTAAAGCTCTTGGCCTAAAAGTTAAAAGAATCAGTTGATCATGAGTTTCATTGACGATTTAATTTTTTTGTAAAATGTCTTACCAAATTAAACTATCCAAGTTTTGTGGATCGGCTTGTTCTGACCATAATGAAACTTGACCTTTATAAATTAAAAAAATTCAAATCAAAACACCTCATAATCAGTCTTGGTGTTTCTATTAAATCTGAATCAAAGAGTTCACAAAGACATACCACCTAAAACTAATTTTCTTTGAGTATGAGTTATATTACCATACGGATCAAAAGAATAAATCTATCAATCAAAAAATAAACCAAATCAGTTACAAGATTACTAAAACGAATAAAGGAAAACTAGGTCTATTGATTTGGAATTTATGAATTACCTTTTGCCAAGTCTAAGAAAAAAAAACAAGAAGGTTAGTTTGAAAAAACGCATATGATACAGAAGATCATTCACTATTTTTGGAAACTTTAATGACTCACTTTAAATGGATCACACCAAGAATTTCCTTCGGGTGCTTTACCTAACCAACCACCTAACCCACTGAAAAAACCCCAAAGTTTGAAAAAAACTTAGTCTTCAAATAATTTGATACATTTTTTTGTTTTTTCCAAAAAATCACTAACCAATCTAAATAACCAAAATCACTAGCAGCATGAATAATCCTATACCCTTTCTCAATCACATCTTTCACATTTTTCGAACTTCTCCAAACCGAAACAATCGTTTTCAAATCCAAATCTAAGCTTTCATCTAAAATTAACTCTTCCCAAACCACTGGATTCTTTTTCGAAAGGTTTATGATCTCATGTGATTTTTTAACAAAGTTTGATAAAGCTTCATTTAAAGTGATATTTTGGGATCTTAAACTTTCTTGAGTTTCTGGATCATCTTCATAACATTTATGGTTCTAGAAAGTGAACCAAAAAAAAACAAATTGAGATTCAAATTGAACTTCTTGAAAGGATTTTGGATTGAGGATCAACTTACGACTTCATCCCCACCACTTGAAAATAAACTACCTGGGATTTCGGTTGTCACATACTTATAGATCTCTTTTACAAGTTCTAAACTTTGATCATCTGCAATTCTTAATTGCCCAGCAGCTAAAAAAAACCCAATCAAACTCATCAGACCATCAAAGATCTTAAAGACTTTGGAATGAGATTGAAAACTTCTTACGTGGTTCAGCAGCATATAAATTCCAAGGTTCAGCATCTTTACAAGCAATCAATTCAGGAAAAGCTTCACCAATAACCGAAGTATGACCCGGAGTATCAATCTCAATCATCACATCAATCCCAATCGAATTAGCAAACCCAACTAAATCTTTGATTTCTTGAATTGAATAAACTTGATGAATCGAATAAGCACCATGTTGAGATAAGACAGATTGAAAAGGTAATTGAAGTGGCCATGATTGTGCATCAGTGATATGCCAATGAAATATCGAAAGTTTAGACCAACTCATGGCTTTGAGTGTACGTTTTAAATCTGAAATAGGATAAAAGTTTCGACTGGTATCAAGTAAGATCCCTCTATATGGAAATGCTGGAGTGTCTTTAATCTTTAATGGTCCATATAAATATCGTAAATTAGAATCGGATTTTAAACTGTATTGGTCTTGATTCGATGAGGTTTGATCGTTTGTTGAGTTTGATGAGTTGGGTATACATAATTCTTGGTTTGATTGAATTGACAATTCATTTTGGTTTTGATTGGGTTTTGAGCCTGATCCTGTTTCTGATTCGGATTGGAGTCTTGATGGTGAAGTGATATAAACAAGTTGTGAAAAGGTTTGTAAACCTCTTAAAAGACCTAATGAATTCGAAGCAGATAATAAAGCGATATTCTGTTGACAATTCCTTGGATCGGGTCCGATTATCAATTCGTATGATTCATCTCGTTCATCTAATCAAAACCAAACCCCAATAAGTCTCTTTAATTTGTGAGAAGAAAACAAACAGGTTTGACAACGAACCTAATGGTTTTAATATCTCAGATCGGATTCCATTGATCTTTAAATGATCAAAATCAAAACCTTTAGTATGATTAGTTTTAGTTTGATTTCCTTTTTTATTAAATTTGAATTTAAGATTATTCCATGTTAATGATTTGATGGAATTCATAAACCAATTCTGATGAAACGATCTATGAATTTCTAAATCAAGTTTATAAATCAGTCCAATTTCTTCACTAGCTTGTTGATCCAATCTTTCATTTAATTTAGTTGCATCTTGGTTTGTTTGTAAAGCTTGGTGTAAATCATCTTGGATTAATTCAATGGTGTCTCTAATCGCTAATTGAAGATCAGTTGGTAATCTGTATCCATTTAAATTGTTTGATGGTCCTATAGTAAAGTTGGGTGATAATAGAATCGTATCTTTCCCTTGAGTTATGTGTCGTGGTGCTGGCCAGATTGACAAGATTGGATTCAGATGAAGAAGACAAAGAATGAAAGTTAATGATATCCCATTCATTCCAGCTTGATTGAGTGTTTGTTTAATAAATATCTGATGATGATGATGTTCCTGATCCTGATCTCCTTGTTCTTTGTTCTTGCTGACTTGCTTCGATAGAATCCAACTTTAATAAAGATCCGGTCTGTCTTCGGGTAGGAGCCAGCAAGGGCCGGGTATTCTGATTTCACATATTACATATCATTGACATCCAGGAATCTGGTTGGCCTGTCTGACATCATTATGGTACAGCCCAGTACAGCCCCTCCAAAAAAGGTTAATGTTTCTTTCTAAAAATTCTCTCCCATGCAAAACTCATACAATTGGTTTTGTAGAGTTTCCTCCTTTAACAAAGCTATGGATTCATGGAAGCAGGAGGATCTTCTGCAATGATAATCATCTGTCCTTGTATAAACTGACCATTCATTCCACATCTTTCAAAAAAGATCTGCTAAATCATTTATGATTGTTGTTTGGCTTTCAGTGCTAGTATCAGGAACATTCTTTTCTCAGATAACAGTCAGTAGGATTTGACAAAGTCAGGCTGTGGCAACCCGCACATCAGGTGTGGTTAAGTTAATTCTATAGAAAACTGGCAAGACCACTTACAGTTGGTTTATGTGCTGCACTGGTGAGCTTTTTACAAATTTCCAATCAATCATTCTTGGAACGGCTGTAAATAATAACTTAAATTTCTTTATGCATTAATCAAACAACAAAAATGATAATAAAGAGATACAGCCAAAAAAAAAATACATCCAATTCGATACAACTTCATAACAGATACAATAAGTTTTAAAGAATAAAAATATAAGAAAGATTATAAAAGAAAACTAAATTGATTCAACTTTCCAGTGTCCTTTGTGTTCCGAAATGATTATAATTTAAAGAGTTTCAGTGGGAAAAAAAGAAATAAAATAAATAAATCTAGTTGTATTCCAGTTCGAGAAGATATTTAGATAAGGCCGATTAGAAGATCAAGTGTGAATCATTAACCTATCCACAGCTTTTGAAAACCCCTTGATCTACAAAAAAAACGTAACACCCTCTTAACCAAAACCTTCAAGTATCAAATCAAGAAAGAAAAACAAGATACATACCTTCTTACATTCGTTCAATAAGTTTTTCATCATTTTAGATTTATCTAATTCAAGAAATTGATAAAGTTTTCTAAAACAAACTTCTTCTCTAAAATCCGTATAAAGTTTTCGATTAAATTTTCTTTCGTGTTGTCTTGTTTGTTCTGCATATGGATGTGATTGATGAATTAAAAAATCTTCTGGTAATACATGAAACGTTACACCTGAAAGATATAATTCAAACAAACAACTAAATCCGAAAATCATAATTCATTTGATCAGTTTTTTTTCCCTCGAAAGTTGTGTTCAAGAAAGAAAAGAGACAAACGCGGCTTTGTTTCCTCCATAACCAATAAACCTTTCATCACAAAAAGGTGTACCATCTTTTTTATAAATCACATAAGGTTCATAACTATGAGTATAACTTATGACTTGATAAGATTGATCAGTTTGGAAATATTGTTTATAATCAGTTGGACCATGACCAGGAATCCAAGATTTATGAAACATATCAATCTTTCCATCTTGAAATAAACCTTTCAATGTAGATTTTTGATTTGGGAATTGGGTTGGATTCACTCCGTCTGCTTGTTTTGTAAACTCAAAGGCTGGGATCACTAAGGCTGCTTGACCTGATTCTAGTAATGATAAATAATATGGATTCGATAGTACTCGGGTTCGGAAATCTGTACAGATCCAAAAATCTACGTCTAACATCATTACATAGGAGGTTCTCGAGAACCATTTCGCTACGTTTCTCCACATGTTGAATTGGCGATCGAATGAATCGACTACCAGATGGATATCCTATCAACGATGATAAAGTAGGGTAATGTCAACTCGAGATTCTGCATTAAATTGATAAACTTCCTTTGAGTTATTGCAGAGACTTACTACCCAAGTTGACATGGCTGGTGAGCTGCGATACATGGTTTCAAGACTAGCAAGTAATGGTTCGAGTGTTTCGGGAACGTTAGACACGTGAATCGTAGCTGAGATGGGACCTTTAGATGAAAATCAGATAGATATGGTCAGTAATGAAGTTAATCAATGATTTTTTGAAAAGGTCAAACCTTGATAATGTTCTACCAATTTAGCAAAGACCTTAAACCGATTGCTAGTAACAAGAGTAGTAATCGTGATGTCCTTCTGATCAAATTCACCATCCGAATGAGGTCCGATAGCTCTATAATAATAAGGTACTACTTTTGAAGGTCCAAGCGCGTCAGAAAAAGCTTTCGAAAGAAAAAAATCTTCATCATTGGTTTGAACATCTAATCTAACAGCAGATGGAAATAAATGATTGGAATTTAAAGTTTTGGATAATGGATGATGTGGTGGAAACCATTGAATTAAATTCTTGGATTCTTGATTTGATAAAGGTTTACGGGTTGGAAAATGATTGGGTTTAGAACTTGGATTTCTTTGTGAGCTGATTGATGATGTTGATTTACTTGAAGTCCAGAGTGAAGATTGATCTTCTGCTACTACTTCATCTGTATTAACAGCTGTACCTTTTAAAGTTTTTCTAATTTGTACATCAGATGGTGGTAAGAAATGAGCTCGATCTGGTAAGAGACGTGGTGTGATTTGTAATGTAGAATGAAGGTGTTGGTTTTCTGTAGACTGAGTTTGATTTGAAATAATGAAAGAATTAATGATGGTGATGGGTTCCAAATCTGATATGAATGAGATTGTTGGTAAGATAAGATAGATTGTTGAAGTATAAATGATAGATGAAAGTAAATAGAATGTGAAGATTGATTTAATGATTGGTGTTTGAACTCTAGATTGATGGTGATGGTGATGATGATGATGGTGAGAGGAATTCAAATTAAACATCCCGATAGTTGTTTATCGTCGTTGATTGATGGTGATTGTTTGATGAGTGTCCTTTGATGGTGATGGTGGCTGGTGCTTGTCTCTCTTGTTTTGGTCATTTCGAGCTGAAGCTAAGACCTTGCCCCGCGACACACTCCAGTTCTCACCTTGGTCAGGGTGCGATCCTGAGATTTGTCCGCTCCGGCCCGCGTATATGTAGGGCCGTCACTTGGCCCTGGCGCCACCCGGTCGACCGTGCCCGCAGCTTTTCTGGAAGCAGACAATACAAATTGGACAAGTTTGTGAAATTTGACAGTGTCTTTTTTTTGCAAACATATGGTCAACAGCATTTGGGACACCTAAAAAGGTGTCCCAAATTTTTGCTTTTATAATACTTTTGCACAGGACTGCTGAACCCCCAACATCAAGGGCCTTCTCCACAGGCACTATGGATTTTTCTACATTTTCAGTTTTATAAACTCACTGGTATATCAATATTTTGGTGCAGTGTTATTAAATTGGAGTTTTTAAGTATTTATTGGATTTATTTCTTCTCAATTTCTTCCTTGTAAATATTGTAGGCTGTCTCTTATTATGTAGCAAAACCTTATGGGCAGTTCTTCTTATGCTGATCAATCCTCTGCTACTTTATTGATGCACACAACCATAATGTGTCACTGAACTGTGTAGCATTGCAGGGTACCCCACCTTCTCAATGCACTGGGCCAGGTTTGCACCACACCCAGCACCTGACAACCATTATCACACTCATCACATTTTTGTGCAAAACCTTCAGGCACTCTTTTGACATTAGGGATCATGTCTCCTCTTGACTTTGTCAGAACCACTACATCACAAGTGGTCTGTCAGTCCACAAGGGCTTGCACAACCGGTAAAAGGCACACTCACAGAGTTTGGCAGGAAAAACTCTGACTGTGATACTGTCCTCCCAGTCAATGCTTCAGACCTCACATATATCACACCATCAAATTATGATGGACTTTGATTCTCTGACCGGCCCACCCCATAATAATATGACATGAGACTGACCCACCCACCAACCCAATGGAGGACTCCAGCTGGGGGGGTTATTAGTTCCTGTAAACCAACCCCATAGGCTGGGGCTCTTCACTACCCCAACACGTGTTCTTCTGACAAACCATACAGAGATTGCACTTGAGTGGTTATCCCAGAGACCAAGGTACTGTCTTGGTACCATGGTCAGTCTTGGTGATCAAGCCAGGACAAACCCCCATTCAACCTCAAATCTCAGTCAAGCAAGTGTAGAGTGGATGATGATTTCTTCCCTTCATATGTCATTATCATTGGTCTTGATTAACTTTCCAAACCTTTGAATTCAAATTAGCTGACTGGTGAATCATATTCTTTGTTTCAAATTTTCATCAGATCATGAAGACTGAATCATTGAAACTTATAGGATCTTTGTTTCTTGTGACAATTTTTGGTTTACATGCAGGTATGTATGGTAAAAGGATGGCATATTTTCTACAAGAATGTTCCACAAAGGACAGAGGGTTCAACTTAATAGACCTGTTGCTGTTCAATCAATGGAATGCACTTGGTATACTGCCCATGTTTAAATGGGTTGATGACAGGAATACTGCACTTGGACATCATGAGGTGAAGGTTCAGACACAAACCCACCTCATGAAGAGCATATCTTTTGCTGTGTCTTCAAAGGGAAAAAAGAGACTTCCCTGTTGATAAGACAGATGGATTGTTGAATCAAATTAACCACTCTCATTGGTTTGTTGAAGAAATATCTCATCAAAATGAACTTATCAAACATCAAATTCAAGTAAATGAATCATTCAACTTCCTTTGAACTCGTGAACAGGATGGCTGTCATGATCAGGTTTTTTTATTTTTGAAGTTCATTATCAAGCTTATAACTTTAAGTACTTGTAAGCCTTTCACCATTTTGGCCAGGTGTTGTATTGATTAGAAAACAAACAAGATCAAACAGCACGACTCACTCAGATTTTCATTTGTTGAGATATGATAATGTAATGTTAGCTAACAAATACTTGATATGTATAAAGATTTCACCTCTGCCCTTCATGTTCCACCTTGACTAAATAAATATGGGGGGTTGGAATTTTACACCGACCCATTTACACCGGATTTTCCGGTGTAAAGTCCATCCGGTGTAAAATTAAAAAAAAACCATTAAGTGCAATTTTACACCGTATCCAATTTTTTTCAGTCAGTGTAAATAAATTAAGTGTAAAGGATACGGTGTAAAAGTCATGTACCCGGGGTACACATTTATTTTTACACCGGACTCTTTACACCGGAACATACGGTGCAAAAACATCAGGTGTAAAAATAAATATATGCCGGGTAAGCACATTTTTACACCGATCCAACCTTTACACCGAGATATTCGGTGTAAAGCACTAAGTGGAAAAGTCAATTTATACTGTTACAAAGTATAAATTTACACCGCATCAATTTACACCGGGTCCAAAACTTGAAAGAAGTCACTCTCATGTGAAAATATTCACACCTGTCGCGCCCAATGACCATGATTAATTACACAAATACAAAGATGACAATGAGGAAACTAGGAAAAGATGAAAATATGAAAAGAAATTGACCATCATTATGATTACAATTATGATGAGAACTTGAAAGAAAAAAAAAGGAAATAAGTAGTGACCATTATTATTTACAAATAAGAATTAAAAAAGAAAAAAGAGAAAACAGAAAATATAACATAACCAATCATAAGTCAAAATAAAATTCCAAAAGAAAGAATAGAAAAATTAGAGATAGAGAAAAGTAACAGAAATTCGTACCAAAAAAATATGGCAGAGATAAATATAATTATATCTGAGGACTGAAAAAGAAAAGATAGACAAACAGAAGGAATGGAAAGACTGACAAGGAAGGGATAGAAAGATTAAAAAGGAGAATACAATACGCAGAGACAAGAATCAAAAAAGGAGGTAAATAAAAAAAGAAATAGAAAACATGATCAAACCTTTTTTACCCCACGTTTTGCTCTGACAGCTCTGGCTCTGCCAGCCTTAGTGGTGGGTTGCCCGGCTTGATCATCTTCCCCTGCTGGTTGTGACTTTTGGGACATTTTTGCTGATTAGAAAAAGAAAAGTAGTAAGTAAAGGAATGCATGATGACTTTTTTAACTATAAACTTACGCTTCTTAACCAAAGTCTCTTTGTTGTTTAGATCAGCTCCTCCTTCTCCATCACCAGCTAGTTTTTCCGTTGATGGTATACGTGGCGCTAACTTGAGCTTGATCTTGAAAGATTGGGTAGGAGGCTGATTGTCGTGGTTGTTGTTATGATGATTTTCCACCATTTCCTCCTGATGTTCTTCCGGAACTTCCTCCTGATGTTCTTGCGCAACTTCAACAACCTCTTCAAGAGAGGGAAGGCCACCACCTACAGGAAATCCCTCCAAAGGCATCGTGAAAGGTATAAGGGTGTGTTTTTGTGGAAATTCCTTCATCAAATCACGTATTGATGAGGCAATACGAGAGCGCTCGTGATTAAAAGGGATTTGTGAATAACAAAGCCAGCTGGTTTGTGCATCACACCCACCAATTGAGGTGATATTGCGGCTCAACAATTGAGCAAAGCCACCGCTCTGAAGTTCGTCGTAATGCCAAACACCCAAAATTCCTTCTACATCACGCACTACCTTGCACCAGTAGTGTAAGCCACCCCAATACCCGCGTGTCATCAAGCAATACTCCACATCACCTACTATAATTCTTGATGGCCAGTTAGTATTATTCTGGAAATCCACACGTGCAGATGCTTCCAAACCAGCTATTCCTTCTAGAAGGAAATATAGGTGCAAAGGCGCCAATTTTGGGTTGCTAGTGAGATCAATCTTGACATTCTCTACGAGTGTGGTGAGATTCTGAGGCGGTGAAGCTTGAATTACGCAATCGGATTCGTCCTCGTTGTTGTCCTCGGGATGGCACTTGCGGCATACGAGTCTACTGTCCGTAGAAAGGCCTTCAGACATTAACAGATCAATCATCAAGCCTACTTCATCGTAAGAAAGACCAGCGTCGGTGAAGTTGTAAGGAAACAAAGCCTGGCAAGCTCTTGTTTTACTTTCAACTCTAGTATGTTTGGCGTCGGCAGGACAGATGTGAGCCTTAATAAATGGAACTTCAAACAAAGGCCTAAGAGAATGTCGACCAGGGCGTAGGAGCCTTTCCATGAACTGGTCAGCTGATGCCATTTTGTCCGGTTGATAGGATGTCGGGGTTCGAAGAGTGTTGTGTAGGAGATTCTGGTGAGATGAGAGGAGCCTGCCAAGGTTCTTTCCTTGGAGTTGCGCAGTACATCTTTTAGTGAGATGCTGATATAGTACATGGACCAGTCCGCTGCCATTGACAGAACCGAAATCGCTCCATAAAGGCCCAAATAGAGCATATAGAGACTCAAGGGTTGAGCTCTGCCAACATCTGTTGGTAGTACCTGGTCGTGTACCTTTAGTATACGACTGATAGGTGGTTAAAGCTGCTCGATTGACGTTTTGAGAGCCTCTGGGACGTCCTGGAGTGCGGGTTGACGCCTTAGTCTTTTTGGTATTACCAAGAAGTTCGTCGGTGGTGTCGGGAGGCCGGCCGTCGTTCTTGAAATAGCGGCGTTTGGTGGGCTTAGGCATTCCTAATCCTTTAACGAGTTCCTCCCAATTCTTCTGTGACGATCCGTAGGCGATGGAAACCCCTTTTTGAGCATTTTGATAATCTCTTTCTAGACTTTGGACAAAGGCTAGTAATTGAATGAATCCCGCGATGATGCTGCATTTGCCTTTCCTGATATATTAATACATTTAATGAATCAATATGAAATCTTCTTCAGATAATGTAATAATAAAAATTTAAAGTATAGTGAGGTGACTTACGACAACAAGTAATAGACCCTGTGCATAGATTCTTGACCGTTTGTGGTTGAGTGTAATTTTTTTTTGATCTCTTTGACTGTTAATAATTTTTCTCCATCACTTTCGTCGTCAGATAATGGTGGATCGTCCAAAGGCATCCTCTTCCTACCAGGAAAAAGCATGGCTTGGGTATCGGCGGTGCACCACCAATCAAGCCACTTTTTTGCATTCAGAAATTCCAAGAAGAGCTTTGCAAATTTCATTTCGAGAGTATTACCAGGTGTATCGGGTTTGAGCAAAGCCTTGCATTTGGCTTCCCAATCGTCCTGAATGAATACAACTCAAACATCAGCCTGGTGTGATAGTGAGCAAAGGTTTATATTGCTTACCTTCAAGTCAAAACGCACAATGCTTCGATTTTTCTTGAGGCAGGTGACGGCCTGGGAAAAATATTGACTGCAGCCGTGTAGTTTGGATAGTGCGACGTCTCGATCCACGTTAAAGACCTCCATGTAAGCACTCATAAATCCCACTTTCTGAGCCTGGGAGAAGTCCACGATTTGTTCAGTTAAGTTGTTCTTCTGCTCGTCCGACTTTGCTGTATCTTTAATCTGTTGTAATAAAGTCTTAAAATGAGATTTGTAATGATCCTTGGAGAGGCCATTCATCCACGTGAGAAGTACTGGTACGAAGCGTTCGATTTTTTCACAATACATTGAAGTTGTCATCAGATAACCGTGATTGAAAAACCTATAGGTTACGTCGGATAGAAGGCCACCTTCGTAAGATACACCATTCTCCTCATGAACTAGCACTTCTGACATCCATTTGCTTTGGAAAGAAATATGTATGTCTTCGACTTTTAGGGATTCAGACACTATTCGCATGCCATTACTAAAAAGACAGGGTCAGCCAAAAGAAAATAAACCAGAAATTAAATCATGGGCACGTACGTGGTCCAATGAATTAACTGAAGGAGCCATCTATCGCCCCCGTCTTTGTCCTTTGAATCCGGCATCAATCCAGCTTCCACCAGAAATAATCGTCGCAAGTACCCAAGGCGTTCCGCATTTCCAAATGAAGGATGTACATCCACCACAGTTCGGATAGGATCAGTGCCTGCATGAGCACGGCCAACCTAAATGTGAACATTGAGTCAGAATGATGATTTTATCTTATACAAAAAATTGTTGATATACATTACCTTTAATCCCAAAGGTCCTGTCTTGGGGTCATTGACGACCATGTCCTTCAGCTGGCTCTTAGACATAGGATCCGCCTTTTTCGCCTCAGGCCAAACATGCCGGTGATCACCTTGATGTCGCAGTATACGCCACGGGTTTTCTGTCTTCTCTTCGTCAAATCGACATCGCGCAGAGCACTCGATGTGCACCTGAAGCCCTTCACAGCTACTGATAGGGCATGGTTCGCACCTGGCAGATCCAAAATTAATATGAGAAACATAAGTATTGGAATGATTATACTTATGTCAAATAAGCAAATCACAACTTACCGATTTAAGAGTTTTTCGATCATTTTGTGGCCGGTTGGAGGTGAACCAGCAAAAGGGCAACCAGTGTTGGAACATTTCATCACCCCGAGGCAGGTGAATTGTAAGATTTTCCAATATTTATGAGAGGAATCGGTCTTCATCGTGTGCGTCCAACCGACAAATCCGAAGTTCTTCACCTTTTCATCAGGTGGGCATACAAAAACCGTATCTCCATTGGGGTACTTAGGATACCCTTGTGCATCGACTACAGAACCAAAGTCGATAAAGGTGGTATGCTGGGATTTATCGGTTATCAGCTGGAGTTGTGGCCGTTTGACCAGGTGGGTTACATTTTCAGAATGAGTTTCTGAGATGGCATCGTCTGGAATTGAATTTGATGAGCGGCGCTTCCTCTTCCTGCCCTTCTTCTTTGATTTTGTCTGTTCTTGGGGATAAGAAAGATCTTCGGCTTCGTTATCAATTGGTGAAGGGATTTGATGATGCTTCTTCTTGGATTTCTTAGAATTAAGAGGTGATCCAGATTCTGATCTTTCGAATTGACTTCTTTCGAGTTGATTTTGTTTTTCCTTTGAATTCTTCGATTTCTTCTTACTTTTTGACTTTTTCACAATCTTGGTCTTCAAACTTGGCGTAGGGGAATCGGAGTCTGTCATGGTGACAAGGTCTGAGCTCGATAACGTGATACCTGAGCTAGAAGGACCGATTTGGCTAGATCTGAGAGGAGTCAATGGAATGAAATTAAGCCGACGATGAGGAGTCGATGGAATGACACTCGATGGTCTATCTTTTGTAGGATCAAGATGATTCGAGGGTGACAGATTATCTGTCAAATGACCTCCTTTCAAACTAGACAGGTCACATCCTTCCTCTCCAGCGGAGAGGGAATGTACTTGGCCCATTGTTGGGTCACAGAAAGAATAATGTGTTGAAAAGATGACGAATTGGGAATGAAAGTATTTGCAACTTGTCGAATACGAGTGAGAGTGACCTTTAAAGTCTAAAGTCCTTGCTTGGAAGTCAACCATCAAGAAGCCCTTCTTCCACTCTCACGGATGATATGTGGGTATCTTGTTTGTTTGGACGCAAGAGTTTATATCTTTCGATCACTTGCATGTATTTGCGTCTGATATTTACAATATCAGGTAGGTATTTTCATGCGATGTTAGTTGATGAATCGGTGTAATAAGTGTCGGTGTAAAACTCAACTTCAAGCGTGAGGTTTGGGATTTTTACATTGTACCCTTTTACACCGGAAAATGTGGTGTAATGGGGTTTGGTGTAAAAGTCGAGATTACCAGGGTACCCGGGATTTTTACACCGGACCACTTTACACCGCATTATCCGGTGTAAAAATCCCGGTGTAAAAATAAATATGTACCCCGGGTACATTACTTTTACACCGTATCGATTACACTTAATTTATTTACACTGTCTCAAAAAAATTGGATACGGTGTAAAATTGCACTTAATGGGTTTTTTTTTTTAATTTTACAGCTATTCTAGAAAGTCGTGTCATGGTGGCACTTTTCTTGGGTTTTTCCCCCAGCGCCACAGGCAGATACAGGCGCAGCGGGCCTGAACAACCCGTGACCCCCAAACCCTGACACAGCCCATCGGGCCCAAACAACCCATTGAGAAAAATTTTTTGTCGCATTGAGAATTTTTTTTTTGCCGCATCGAAAAATTTTCCGCCCCAACAGTTTGTCACACCACCTCTTCAACGGTTTGTTCGTTTCGCTTTTGTTTGGTGAAACCATCATTCTGACTCTTTCAAATCCCCCTTCTAGGCATGC